GGCCTACCGTATCGACTTGTCCTAATCATTGCTAATCTCGAACTCACCGCAAACCGATGGGGAACTACTTGGACACAATGGAAATCCAAAAACGTCGAAACGATGCCGTTTGTGATGGGTCGAAACGACAGCGTTTCTTGACAGTGAAACGACATCGTTTTATACACTTCTTGGGCCTATTCATGGGCCCAAATAATCAGGCCCAGGCCTATAAATGGAGAAGGAACGACCTCTCCCACGTCTCTTCTTCAATCCCCCCACCTTCACCTCCACGACGAGGATTGTTTCAACTGCTCACTCCCGAATTACTTCCCGAATTACTTCTCCGGTGGTTTCGGAGGCAACTTCTGGGAACTACAACGTTTTATCGCCGTGAATTCTATCTTCATCTTCGTTCTCTTTACGCCATGAAAGCCCTGCTTGTGCTCCTTCGCGAACTCTCCTCCTGACTGGTTCTCTCTGTCCGTAACTCCCTCCTCTACTCGTCTTCTGGGTATTTCTCCGTTCTTTCTCTTTCGTTTTGCTTTCATCTGAAATCGTTCTCTATTATTACTCCTTATGTTTCACCGTCTAGGACAATTTTATCTGAGTTTTGCACTTACTGGTCGCTAGTTCTAGTTATCTACGTGTCGTGGAATCATGTCAATTATGTCTGTCTGTGTATATGTTTAGGGAAGCTTGTCTCTTTCCTCGTGTTCCTGGTTAAAGGAATTGCCTTTTCTTCCACGTGTTTTGTCAATTGTTAAAGTAGTATTGGTTGTTTCTAATTTTGTTCGATTATGCTAAGGTAATTGACCTCTGGGGATTCTAATTCTTTCTTGGTTTTAATTTTTTCTTATTGATTTGTGAAGGCGTGAGGATTTTACGCTGGTGAAGTTGGGGTTGAAAAGATGGGCAGTTCGTTTAACCCTCAGATTTTAGTTGAGAAACTTGCCAAGCTCAACAATTCTCAAGCAAGCATAGAGAGTATCCTCTGGTTGTAATACTGATTTTTCTGTACCGATTTCTCATTTTTTTTCCCAATCTTTCCTGTCATGTGGAGTTTTACCCTTTTGTCTGAAGCTGCAGTATTAAGGTTGCTAGAGAAACTGAAGCCACATTGAAATAATTGAATCTTAAACCATAGTATTACAATGTGGGAAGAAATCTGTCTCTTTGGTGACAAGGGTTTTTCTCTCTTAACTTCCTTTTTTCCGGATCGGTAGTAGGATGTACTGATTTGGAGTTTTGTCAATCCACTTAACGTTATTTTTTCGATTATTTTTTGCCATTATTCTCCTTGTATACTCTGTCATCCTTAATTATCTTTTACAGCTTTATCGCATTGGTGCATTTTTCACATGAACAAGGCAAAACATGTAGTGGAAACATGGGACAGGCAGTTTCACTGCGCCCCAAGAGAGCAACGATTGGCATATCTGTACCTTGCGAATGATATCTTGCAAAACAGTAGGAGAAAGGGTTCGGAGTTTGTTGGTGAATTCTGGAAAGTTCTCCCTGATGCTCTTCGGGATGTGACTGCTAACAGTGATGAATTAGGGAGAAATGCTGCGTTGCGGCTGGTATGTCCAACAAAATCCTTATTACCCCGATTTATTTGCCGCCCTTACATCGTTTAGGGAAGTGGAAATCTTTTGCACTATTTGAGTAGCCTTTCTTTCGGCAGCCAATTATCATATCATCATCATCTACCGTTTTATCCTATGCAAGATTAATATCTGGGAAGACAGGAAAGTTTTTGGTTCCCGGGGGCAAATTCTCAAAGAAGAGTTTTTGGGAAGGCGGCCTGAAAATGGCAACAAAAATGGAAGGCATGTGCCTGTTAAGCTTGTAAGTCAATCCTTTCATTCAAGCAATTATTTTTTCCATTTTTTATATGAATAACCCTGTTCCGTGCCGAGTTAAGTTTTTTCTTGGCTACAAACTTACATGATGAACTCTGATTCTGATCTGTTTGTGCATTCTATTCAACAGAGGCAAGCAAATGGAAGTGCACTGGAGAAAGTAGTTTCTGCTGTTGAATCTCTTTATGGTGGTCAGATTGATGAAGATGTGATTCTTGGAAAATGCAGTAGTGCTACTAGCTACCTTGAGAAAGTAGGGAAGGAGGTTGAGGGTGATCTTAGTTCAGGTATATCAACAGCATGTTTATCCAACGTTTTTCGGCTAGAGAATTTCTGACTCCTAAGTTCAAGCATCTGTTGATCTGTTGCATACCCAAGATTATATTAAACTCCTGTTCCGAAAATCTTATTTCTCTCCTATGACATTGTGAACAGGGCATCCCCCTGGACCTGCGGTGGTGAAAGAGGTGCAAGGACAACATAGCATACTGAGGGAGTGCATGGAACAGCTGAAAGCCATCGAGACAGCCAGAAAGGATCTTGTTTCTCACTTGAGAGAGGCTCTGCATGAACAGGTTATCTGTTCAGATGATCTCAGTGTTTACAAATCATCCTTGATTTGATTTCTGCTGCAAAAACCTCACATTGTTTCTGTTGTTTTTTTCAGGAACTCAAGCTGGAGAAAATCCAAAACGAACTTCAGGTTTGAGCTCTGCAGTAAACCCAATTTTGCGTCTTTATGAGTTCTTGCATTTTTTATTCACATAACATAACAACCTTTTCAATAGGAGATACTCTGAGAACTGCCAACTAATAGTAAGAGAAAGGGAAAAAAAATACTGGTCTGCATTTCGAGCTGGTTATATCGATGTGTTCTCTCATCCTTAAGGCATCTGGGATCCCTGAACAGCTGGTCTGTCAGTATGGAAACGTGATTCTAGTTGACGTTGTTTATCTGATTCCCGTTCTGATGTGATTGTAGGTTTCCCAATCTCAATCAGACCGGACTGGAGATCTTTGTAGACAGCTTCTAGACCATTCCACTCCGGTCTACAAAGCCCCGGAGGCACAGGGGGAACAGTCTGCACCTGTGATGTATGGGAACCCGACCCAGACAGCAGAGGAAGAGACCAGAAAATTGGCTGCGGCAGCAGTGGCAGCCAAGCTAACAGAATCAACTTCCTCGGCCCAGATGCTATCCTACGTCTTCTCGTCCCTTGCTTCCGAGGGCATCATCGGGAACCCATCTGTAACAGAACCCCCTTCCAGTGATTATCCGCCGGAAAAAAGGCCAAAGCTTTCGGATCATGACCAACCCTACATCCCACCTCAGCAACAACCCGCGATTTCTTTCGCGGAAAATCTCCAACATAACGCTCCAATGACGTCCTCAGCCTCTGGTCATCTTCCTTCGCCGCTACTGCCACCGTTCCAGCAGCCGCCACAGTTCTTGCAGCCCTTACAACCACCAGGACCTACCTCCCACGCGCTGTTCAGCTACAGCATGTCCACAGCCATGGCTGCAGCCTCGCAGCAGCAATCTTCTTCAGTTCCTGGATACACTCCACCAGCAGCGGCCACTCCTTTCACATCTCCGCCTCCGCCGGTTAATTCTTATCAGAAGTGTCAGGGCTCAGAAGGATTCTACGGCGTGAACTTACCGATTACTCGGCAGTAGAATGAAGATGGATCTGTAGTTGTCGGATCAATAGCAAAAGTTTGTCCTTTTATCTTTTCTTTTTGGGTTCCTTCTGGTGCTGTCCTCGTTGAGGTTTTCGTGTGTGCTTCTGATTATACGCCTCTAATTTAGAGATATCTGCACATAGTAACCATGTTTGTACCTTATGTTTTCCAAAGTCTCACTCTGATATTCGCTGTTACTTATGCAGGGTTTATGACTCTATTAGCTTTTTTAGGTGATCTATCATTGTTAGTAGATCTCTGGTTTGATAAAGTTTGGATTTTTTATTTATGGGTTTTTGAGTTAATTTGCTCCCCAGCGATTTAACTGCTGAAATTATCTAAAAAAACCGAACTTTTCTCTCCGACCAGACACGAAAGGAACATCTGTCACATGGAGTTGCAGTCATTTGTAACAAGAAAGAATGTCTACAAGAAAGCATGAGAAAATTTCAACAATGGTAATACGAATCACGACTGTAACGAATATGATAACAGAACATAAACATTATCAAAAGGCCGAAGAATCTTCGTTCATGATCTTGTTTCTTTATATCTGTGACATCTGTTCTTCGAACACATCCATGGCGGAGCCCGGAAGTCCAAGAAGCACATTGATGCTTCTCCTCTCTTCTCCATGAGACAGAAACAGAATCACTTCCTTCTCTGGCAATGCAACGGGACCAGACAAAACCGGTTTGCCCCATCCGAAATCGGTTGAATGAAACGGCAACCTCGACCATGTCGTGATCAGAAGTGTCGATGCAAGAGACGGTCTGGTCCTTGTTACCTCGAAGTAATCGATCGCAGATCTCATGTAGCCATCAGTCACCGTATTGATCGCTTCACGGACTAACCCGACAGCGAAAGCCAATGGCTTTTCGAGAAGTTCACCTGCTTCGCAAGTGGCATTTATCAGAGTAATTCCATTCCCAAAGTACCCTTTTGGAAGTGGAGGCTGAAACTTGGCTCTGCCATCGACGGCAAAGAGAAGCTTGGTCTTTTGGTCATTCAACAATTTCAGTGCCTTTGTTCTCGCTCTCCACACGAAAGCCGATAAGGCCTCAAAGGTTGTGCAGCTCTGAAGAACTTGGCCATCTCCAGTGGCCGTCAGCTTGAGTTTCTTGATCTTTTCCGGGTCGAAACAGAAGGATCTGTAAAGCATTGGTTCATCTGCGTAGAGGGCATTGACGTTGGATTTGTCTTCGATCTCTGCGTATTCTTGGTGGAGATGTTCGATCAATGGAGGGTTTCGAGCTCTAAGAACGGTTCTGTCTAAAACCGGAGGTGTTGTAAGGGGTAACCCTCTTGCTGTTTGGCCCCATGAACTGACAAACTCCATGGCACCGATTCCATCAAACATGCAGTGGTTCATGCACAGTCCAAGAACAAAGCCTCCACATTTGAATTTAGTCACCTATATTAGTAATCAGACAAACAACGTTATCGCTGTCTTTTTTCAGACGCGAACAATCTAACTCATGAATCTGGAAAAGAGATCGCTTGGGGAGAAAGAAGGAACCTGAGCTGTAACTGGAGGAATTTCAAGAATGGTCTTGGCATCTGGAACATCATACACCAGTTTGCCAAGAGTGTCAGGTTCTGGCTTAGTTATGTCACCAATCTCATCCATTGAACAGTTAGCTTCTGCCTCCACAAACACGACTCCTTCTTCACTACAGTCCACCGTAAGCTTGCCTGATGATCACCAATGACATATGAACAAAACTACAGAAAAGCTCGAAGATAAGATACCGAAGCCATTTCTCATCAATAGTGAGCGATAACTTTACCTTCTGGGCTTATGGTGATCCTCCCAGAGAGAGGGTAATAGTGAACAAGAACCTTGCTCAGAGCGTTCTTGATCACATCTACTGCATCTTCGTTCCCTTTTTCACCCGACTTGAAACAATAGATCGTTCGGATGATCACAGCGATGTTCTGATCAAGATTCGACAAGAAATAGAGACCCTTTTGCGTTTCGGATTCGGGTTTAACCAAAGTCGGCTCCTTCTGCAAGACCTCGAGCTGAGAGGCTTTCCTGTCGCAGCTGCTGCTGCTGTTCTCCATTGATGCAGAGACTTCTTTGTTTTCAGCAACCTGAAACACAAAAAAGAGTGAGATAAACAGAGATGCCAGATTACGATTTAGGCCAGAGAGGGAGGGAGAGAGACACTGCCGAAACATTCATACAATACTGACCATTATTCACACAAGTTATAATGGCTGACAAAGGAAGCAGAGAATGTGGTATTTATAGAAACAGCAAAGGGGTGTTTACAGAAAAGAAAAAGAAAAGAATCTGTATTAAAGGTTTTGGTACCCAATAGGGAAGGGAAATCCCTGTGAGAAGTAAATGGGGGAAGAAAACGAAAAATCTGATCTTTCTTGATTGAGAAACTGTTAAAGAGAAAGATATGAACAGGTGGATCTATGATTGTTGTGAGTGAAAGATTGGGTTCTTCAGACACAACATAACTGGTTTATATATATATATATATACACATATATGTATGTATACAGATTCCATTTTGTGGTTGCATCATTCATCATATGGATGGAGTTAGGCGACTAACACAACAAACCAGAGAAAGGGTCATTGACTGTGTGAGGGCTTTTGGTTTTTGGTTGTTGAGAGTAGGCATCCTAATTTTTGAATGATTCTCTTTGTCATGCAATGTTTTTAGTTTTGTCCTTCCCTTTCCAGAAAAAAAATAATTAGGAAAAAAAATATTTGTTCTTATTTTAAGAGAATGTATCTATGACAAAGATCTGATTCGCCCAAACCTTTTTACTGTTAAATAATAATAATTTGAATATTTCAAATATTAAAATGTTCTTATTTTAAATGGTTAATATAACTCATAAAATATTCCAATGTGTCAAAAATAAAGTTATTACTCCAATTTTTTTAATAATTTCCTCCGAAATCTTAGGCATATACACCATTCTTTCTTTCTTTAAAAAACATTGCCGTAATATTTTATTTTATGATTTAAAATGAAAAAAAATGGACCTTGCAAGATTTTAGGCCCAAAACATTAAACACATGCATTCGATTGTAGATAACACAATGCTAAATTACTAAAAAGACAAAAATAAATGTACCTCTCAAAGAGTATTTAAATATCTAAATGTATAATATAAATATATATAATATTGTTGTGATATTTTATTTTATTAATTCATACATATAGTGAAAGCAAAGCTGCACAAGCATATTCTTCATGCTTCTCATGATCTCCACAAGCACATGACCAGAACAGTTGATGAGTTTGAACATTTACCTTCAGATTCAACTTTTGGATGGGAAGCTGAAACGTCTTTTCCCAAGGTTACACTTTTGCCTTCAAACTCAACGAAAGGATATGTTTCATATTCTTTCTTCCTGTTGTCTTAGGACTATTCTGGGCTTTGTTTTTTTTTTTTTTTTTTTTTTTTTGCTGTCATCCCCCTTTGTCGCACTCAACACACTTAAGGCCCAACGGCCTGAAGAAAACTTTTACCAATTTTGTGGGCCTTTTTTTTAATGAGAATTTCTCTGTATTATTGGATTGCTTGTTTCACATAAAATATTTTCAAACCCGTTAAATTCAACCATTGTCCAAAAAATGATATTTAATTTTATTTTAAATATATATTATTCCATTATCGAATTTGTATCCACATATAAAAACCAAAATATTTGAGCAAAAAAGGACAAACCTTCTGCAGCTGGGAAACCCTCACGTTTCACTCCGAATCACCTCGCAAGAAGTCTCTAACCGAGTTAGAGGCTTCCACCCTCCCCGTCATTTCCAACACCTGTTTCACCATCGAACATCTTTCGAAAGCAAAAGGGACATTGGGTACCAGAAAAAGGCAAGACAAGACCCTTAGAACAGCTTAAGGCTTCCGACCAGCAAAAGAAGACAAGACCCTTCTTCCTCCATAACTGAAAACTGTAATCTAATCCACAATGTGGCAGAAGAAGTGTACACTGAAGCTGTACTATCCATCTGGATACTCAGATCCTCACTCTGCATAGGATATTGGTAAAACAGTAATCTTACATTATGGTAGCAAGCAAAAGCAATCCTCTATTCTGGGATCAAACAGACATGCCAAAGCTTCAATTGAACAAAAACAAAACAACTCGGCCTGTCTAGTAACAACCCACCTGCAAGCTCAACAACAATTGCAGAACCAATTTTGAGATTTTCCCTTTTTTCTCCCTCTCCAAAGAATCAATGAAATCGCCTCACCTGTGTTCTCTCCCGAGGTTTTGAAACTCCATAACCATATCCAAGCTTATACATATATACCACTCTCAGTGTAGCCATCGATCCTCTCCATGGTTGTATAACAACAAAATCGTCACACACACAACCAAAATTCTAAACAGAAAATCACGTGAACCCATCAAAGCCCAGAGCCTTGAGAGTCCTCCTTCTCAGATGTTTCTTGCTGATTTTCATCAGGGCGTTGCTGGCTATGGTGGTGGTGGTGAAGAACCCTAGCTTGACCCATCTGATGATAAACCTGTGCAAACGCCTGCGGATTCGGAATTCCAACATTCCCATCCTGAGACAGTCCAAGCTCCAATCCAGGCATCTGATTGTTAGCCTCTGAACCTAAGATTGACGCAAAACTCATCGCACCCATGTTCGACACGCCTGGATATTCAAACCCAGAAAACCCAATTCTGTACCCTCCGCCGCCGCCGCTCTCACTCGTTATCCCGGTGGTCGATGCACCAGCTCCGCCGCCGGACGGTGGCTGAAACCCAAAGCCAGTAACATTCGGCCACAGCCCACTTGGTAAATTATGGTAATGAGCCCTGGAAGTTCCTCCACCGCCATCGCCTATGCCAACCATGGGCCAAGCAATCCTGCTAATACTACCCGGCCCACTAATCCCACCACCGCCAAGATCATGGTTCATCATCAGAACTGTCGAGAGACA